TGTATTAATTGCGAAAACAAGTCTATGATTTTGTTTCTCGTTTCATTTGCATGCCATTGCTACGTATGGAAGGGACGACGTATACTGCTGCACCATTTGAATTGAAATTAGACTTGCAACCTTTTTGGACGGTGGTAATGTGCTGGTGATGTGCACTGCAACGAACATTTCATATAGAATGCAAAAAAATCTTTAAGAACGAAACAGTGACATGTGCCTTGATGACAATAAATCATTTATTGCACTTAACAAGATTCTTCCCATCAGATTTGCACACGTACTCTAAAACGTGAAACCTCTCATGAAGATCACATTGAATGGAAAACCCACAGCAACGCCAAGTTAAATACACCATCAATTAAAGTCGAGAACCAAGCAGTTCGTTTGCTTCATTCCATTCATCGTTTGTCTTGATATCGAACAGANGTACTCTAAAACGTGAAACCTCTCATGAAGATCACATTGAATAGAAAACCCACAGTGACGCCAAGTTAAATACACCATCAATTAAAGTCGAGAACCAAGCAGTTCGTTTGCTTCATTCCATTCATCGCTTGTCTCCATATCGAACAGAACAATTAATGAATTCATGAGTGCTATAAAGCACTCTAACATTATTTCGCTCCAAAAGTTTTATAACACGATCACGTCACCATACAATTCATTCTATTATAGACAAGCCCATTTAGTGCAATATCTGGTCTTCGCCTCAACAGAGCGAAAAAAGAGATGTTTATTGGGAAGTGCGAAAAATTCTCATAGGTAACAGTTTATGCGCTAATGAGAGATGAAACGAATTTGACAATATCATTGTTACAGATTCGGGAATAAATGTGAATAAACTGCCCTTGGAACGTTCACAGTTCATTGGGTTACAACAACGGTATCCTCATCAAAAAAACTGTACAAAGGATTACAAAATGAGATGAGATAATAATAGCTGATGCGTCATTCGATAACAGCGAAACACTGCAATCAAGTTTATTTATGGGTATTTCAATAAGACGTGCTCCGACATACTCGAGTGGACTTGCCCGCTGGCACGTCAATGCTTGTTTGTCTCGAATCTGAATTTTGAAATAATTCATTCATTTAAATACTTCATTCATCAGATCATTATGACAACAGATCTATTGACCGAAAACGAAATTTCAATAGCGCTGTTCGTGACAGTATTGAATGAAAGTTGCATGTTTGAACTGACAGAATGGTTAAAAACCATATCTGACAAGAAAAGGTCACGAACTTAATCCAACGTTTCCTGATAAGATTTGCGTCATATGCGTCTCGAGCTGGTCATGAATGTGCAATAAAGTTTTGCGAAGCACAAATGGGAGACCAGATATGGTGAGGAAAAGATTTTCAGTGTACTGAAGTGACGTTCTCAATTTCCATCTATCAACGACAGCCTTACCTAACGGGTAATCCGCTAGCACCAAGTCTGGATGCCTAATGATTAGTTCCGCATGTTGACGGAATTTTTTTTCTCATACATCTACAGTAGCATATTCAAGCAACCATGATATTTTGCTGCCCTCCCCATAACTTCCATGTTTCTTCCTAGAGACATTTCTACATTTTTTTTAGTTTTGAGATTTCTTTTGTTTCTTTGAATCTGATCATAACGAGCATGTCTATTTGTAAAATGTTCTTATTGTAAATTCTATCTATGTTTCCATCATCTTGTTATGGATAGACATGGTCATTAGGATCAGATATAAAAACGGAAAAAAATCCAATATTAAGAAACAAAAAATACAACAAAAAACATAAAACTTTTCCACAACCATTTAAAAAAATTCTGCGAAGGGCAGCAAAATATCATGGTTGTATGAACATGCTATAGATGTATGAGAAAAATGTTTCGCCAGTATGTAGAACCAAGCCATAAGGAATTGAAACCCGGTGCTAGCGCACTACCTGCTAGGCAAAATCCCCATCACAAAATGCAATACAGAACGTCACTTTAATGCGCTGAAAACCTTTTCATGAATAAAATCTGTCATTAGTTTTTTCCAACTTCTTTCATCAATACTCTTGAAGAATGCCAACCGTTTTCGACTTCTTGATCCAACTGATATAATCAACACTCTCGCAGTTGCAGTAAAATGAATTCCGCAGTAAAATCGATTTCTCTCGCAATTCGCTACCGATACCATTTCTGAATGTGTCGTCCAGTCTTCGGAAATGATTCCTACAAAATGAATACGATATCATCGGCACTTCTTGACATATCTTTGCTTGTCATATCTTTGCCACATATCTTTAATACGTTGGAGACGTATTAAAAGCGATGTCAAGAAGCAAAGACAAAAGCAAACACGTAAAACAATTTACAGAAATAACAAAATTTTGGAGCGAACCTGCTGAGATCAAGTGTTTCAACGTTCAACATACACGACGCGTTCACATTGAGCGTTTGCAGAAAGTTTTGCCGTAAGTCCACATATCTTAGTGAAGGAAACGGGCATGCGATATCGTACGGTACCGACGTAAGGTAGTTGTAACTTAGATCGATGTACTGAGATTTGATCATTACGTTTAGTTATTTCAGTAATAGCATTAAGAATCTTGATTTGACTGTGACTCCTTTGATGGATATTTTTTTATTGGAGAACCTCCTAATGGATGAACGTATGTAATACGCAGATTCAGAGATGGGCATTAGCGCGCTAACGTGTTAGCGGAATTCTTTAGCGATAGCAGATTTACTGTCGTTGGTCAGCGGTTTAGCGGGCTATTTTTTCGCGAACGACAGTGGAATAGCGGACTAATTCCGCTAAGCGTTCGTCTGCTAGTGAATGCACGAATCATAAGGTATACAAACACAAATTTGTGCTGTACCACTCCACTAAATTCAAACCATAAATTTTCAACATGATCCACATTGTAAAATCTTGGTGAATGATGGCACCTTTAATATTCCAAAACTTACGGTAAGTTCCTTGAGTTGTGCAGTCCTGAACATACGCATCATAAGTGCAAATTGTATTGTTCGATTGACGAGCAAAGTGAATGCTCGTCGTAGATACAACTGAAAACAAAGATTTTCAATTGATGCACACACTGCACACATGCATAAACAATTAATGGTATATTTGGTACTGACAAATCGTTGGTATATTTTCGTTGCATCGCATTAAGCTCGTTGCTCCAATAATGTTATTATCAAGAGCTACATTGCCGTGAGATGGGTATTTTGAAGGCAAGCAGATAGCATCAGATTTATTCTCACCAAATTTAAGACCACTGCTCTCTCAGATATGTGAGTGATGCCCACTGATTTTACAGACATTACTGTCGTTTGACTTCGACTTCTTTTAGTCAATTCTAGCCTCGATTTGCATGGATAACGGGAAATACGATTACTAAATAGGACTGAATCGACGAAATAATTATATTTAGGACTGAAATGCTAGTAGTTTCATTGGGAACATGAGCAATCGCTGTTTCGCTCATGGACTTGTAATAGAACGCAATGACTGTGAAAAACATTGAGTAATCAAACCTACTTGTTTCAATTTAGGAGTATGAGAAAGAAAATTGATATCGTCATCTTTGAGAACAATTTCATTATTGCTGATGTCTAAAACCAACAAATTTGGCATTCCTTGCAAAGCATTCGAGTGCAAATTCACGATATAATTCGCCGATATGTTCAAAACCTACAAAATTTCAAACTGAAAAGGATGAGACAAATTCCAATAGATAATTGCGAAACTGAAGTAAAATTGTCGATGAGTGCAAAACGATCAGACACGAGCACAACATGACAATGCGCTAACTCCGAATGTGAAATTAGTGCATTGTTACGGAGCCTAGAAAAGTGACAATTTTCATGCCCTAAGCTCATGTCCGTTATCTACAACCTCGAGATTTTGATGAACATTCTGGCCAAACAGCGCGCTATCGGGCAAATCTTGGAAGTTATTGCCATGGAATGTCACCTTTCGAAGATGCCTGAAACCATGGTTGTTTTAATGTCAATGTCTGTGTATTAGCGAAAAGAATTTTGGGTGCAGCAAATGAAGCGGTAAAAAGTGTAGTTCCCAGCTCATACGTTCTAAAAACAACCGCTGCAGAAATTGGTGGTAATTCTAAAGGTGGCTGGATCAAATTTTCATTCAACTCAGGCGTACACGCAGGATTTTTGAAAGTTTCTTGCTGTCATCCTCCAAAACAGTACTATTTTGAACGGAAACAATCTACGTAAACGTTCATCGAAAAATATGCTGAAAGGTCGCGCCATTTACACCGTTCCTTAGCCACACTGGGTCAACAAATAATTTCACGCAGTAACCCTTCAAACTAACTTTTTGAACCAAAAATTTTTTGACATCGGAAGGTAACTCTCTGATCGGCGAGACCTTGTCAATTCGGAAATAAGAAAGTCGCGGAATATTACGCCTTCAACGAAAAACAACTTGATCCAGATGCTTTCTAAACTGATGTTTTCGAAACGAAATGTCGCATGGGTAGCTCCTAGATAAGATGGCTTATTCTTCTGTGCTGGGACCTCAGAAAATTCAATATTAGAGAAATTTTGTCACTCTACTGCACATGATGAGCAATGATTTCAGGGGAACCAGGACTGATAATCAGTGGTATGGCCATGAATTTTTCAAAGGGGCCACACAAAGGTCTGGTTCAAAAAAACTGCCGAATTTTGGGGTATGTTTTTCCATATTTATTTTTCTTCCTTCGCTCTCTCTTGTCATTTTCATTTTCTTTTTGCAGCTTCCATCTCCTGTCTCCTCTTTTCCTTTCTCTTTCCCTCTTCTTTATCCTTTTCTTTTTTCCACCATCAGTGGAAGGAGGAAGGGGAGGGGAGTGGGGGAAAGAGGACGCGCTCCTCGTGCTCCCTAATCCCCTTGGGCACGCTATTGCTGACAATGGATGGACAGTGTAATTCGTGACTTAGTCAAAGCAGCAAAAGAACACATTTCCACGGTCGTTGGAGAAGTGAGCAAGAAAAGATTTTAAAATGATCGCACTGCTGCGAGCATTTGAACGGGAATTGCCGAAATTGAACTGGAAACGATGCGGTAATCAATTTAGCGGAATTGGTTGCTCGCGAGATTGTAGGAAACATATGGATGAAAGTGTTCAGTTTTCAATCAGATGAAAAGTTCAACTCAACGCCTTCAATAAGCTTCGAACGGAAATATTGAACAGCCTGTTCACCGGTTCTTTAGACATTATGAATTGCTCACCTGTAATGGTTATTTACATGAAGAAAGACATCCGTATCGACAAATTGAGCATTTATACAAGACAATTCACTGTCCTCTTCACGGCACTGACATGCAGCAAAATCACTCAGAGAACCTTGACACAAAAAACGTGAATTCGGATCCTGAAACAACCTTCACTATTACCCCAACACTTAACTTGTTTGTGATTCTAGTTGTTAAGGCATGAACGCTGATTGTTAGTGTTTCATATATTGCGAGAAACATTCGAAAGGAGATCATTGAGCATGTCGAAGAACAAATGAGATTAGTATAACAGCACTAAATGCTCGCTTCATCGTGCGAAAAAATTGGCGAAATGTTTAATACTTTCTATTATTCCGATATGCATTCGGATACCTTCCCAACAAAATCGATACTGTTCAAAAGTTGTTTATTCAGTTGAAACGAAGTATACTAGAGGTTTAAAACCGTTTGAATAAGTGAAAGTATAATCCGTTAGAAAACTGCGATGAAAGCATAGTAAAACTCTTGTCATATCCACATCATCTACCATGGCTCCTTCCACTGACAAATCCAAATATCTACCAATCACTCACTTTTCTGTCACATATCACTCAAATATTGCATTGAATCTTTCAGTTTCACTTAACCCATCGCCCGTATGAGTGAAAAAATGTTCATCCGGGTGAATAGATCTTCTAAAGGAATCGTAAAATGCCAACCTCATCCGAGATAGATTGCCTGTTCACCTCAGCGGCTCCGAGGACGCCGAGGGCGAGAAACGCCCTCAAGATGTAGTTGTATAGCGGAATCAACTGGAAAAAAAAAGAAGATTCTATTTCAAGAATACTGAGTTGATCGTTTGATCGTTTCGAGAACATTGAAATAAATGATGATAGGCGAAGAATGAAGTTGTTAAGAATGAAATCATCTCCGGTTCAGTCTCAAGGCCAGAAATTCGTTTGAATGCAAACTGATAGCATAGATGCGGCAGTGAGTGTTTTCAGTTGAAAGCACGATACACTGTTCAGCGATTGTTCGGACATCAATGGCATAATAGAGTGGCACAAATTTTCAACACGAGTAAATTAAAAAAGAAGATTCTTCCGGAAGCACTGTTTCTTCGCTGAATCAGGTGATAAACACAAATATTTCTGACATGAGGACAACCTGTTAAAAAATCAGTGCTGATTTGACAAATGATGCTTAGCAGCAGCTGTAATCTTGTTCGTTAGTGAAGTTAAAAGCTGTAATCTGCTTGCTCCTAGTGCGTTGTTTTATTGTCTGCTCAGACTAACCACCAGCATTAATAATCCACATGTTCAGCTATATGCGAATAGCAATAAAAAGTTCGCTAGGAAAAAAGTATAACAAATGGTTTATCGTTAATTGATGTTGAACTCTTCAGTCTCACAAAAATTACAAATTTATGGTTGAGCGGATCCGTTCAAAAAAAATTGCAATTTATTATGCAGAACAAATCTCATAGTTTTCCTAAGCAATCGAAAACCATACAAAAGCAAATTTCAGATGCTTGATATATGGTAACACTGAAAGCGTGAGTTACATTCAAAAGGAATTTAACATAGAATAAGCATAAACTTACAAGTAAAACTCTCAATGCGTTGCTCTTATGTTCAAGCATCTGACAATGAATGATTCATTACTGCTATGCTCAATGTCAAGCTGCTAAGATGAAATCCTTCACCTGATATGCTGATGACATGAAGTCTCTGGGAACGGTTCGACGCAACAAAATAACAAAGCCGTGGTTGAGTTTTCAATACATTGCAACTATCACAATAAGAATGCGAATGAATTTGCTCATATCGGCAAGCATTGCAAAGTAAGTGAGGATGTGAGTGGTAACGCGAGATCATATGTCAATGATGACAAAGAGTCGCGGCTGGATTCGATCACAATCTAACAGAAGTAATTGACTAAACGAATTACAAATACATCATTGTTATTTAATTGCCACCTACGCCTGAAGCGTAAAATTTTTATGATTGTTAGTGAATAGCGGAATTAAGCGAAACAATGAGAAAGCAAATGGTGATGATATTGAAAGTCATGGCCATATGATGCACACAACAGCAAATGTTTACAGGGACGCAACAAGCACATTTTAGTAGGCAGCTGGCTCTCGGTTGAACAGATCGATATATCCTCTCATCATTAGCCGAATAGAACCACGAGCATAGACCAGGCATCATTTTACATGCGCATAACATCGATTTCTACTCATCATTTCGTCACAAACGCGTTACACAAACGTTTACTTTTTTTATCCATCTGTTCATTAGCAAGTTGGCTGTTTCCAAAGTGATTTCGTCTAATCGTAAATAAATGATGAATCTACGTTCAATGTAGTGTTTAAGAATTGTTTAGAACCTATTGAACTCTTTCCGAGGTGAGCTCTTTGAATTTACAAGCATTTTTTTCACTGTCAGCACTCACGTCTATGGGAATTTCGTTTCATTTATCATCAGCGTAGAGTTCTGAAATGATCTTCTATTGTGTATTCCAACAAATCTATCGTCAACAATCAGCATTTTTGGAATTATGCTTCAACTTCGAATTCGTCACATTCATCATCATGATGCCTCCCTCTCTTCAATTGTTCAGCACATTATGCTGTTTCATTTTAAGAAGTGCACGCACTCGACTCAGTACGGTAGATTGAGTGATGATCTTTGTCTGATCAATGCACTGGGGAATGCATATCGAATATCAACGCGAGACTTTCAAAGTTATCTCTGAATGGAATTCAGAAGATTCAAAAATTTATCAAAGAAACTGATCGTGAAGAACTTCTCGAATTTGTTCATCTAACATTTGAAACGATCCACTCACCATATCAATCGCAGTTTGTCTGAGGTCGCATCACGGTATGAAACTGATTCTAATTATACACTAAGAACGAATCCATCGAGCGCCCATCGCATAGTCTGTCATCAAGATGGAATGATTGAAGTACAAGTTCGTATGATCAGTCGAGATGCTCGCTGTAAGAGTATCATTATTTGTTTGCATTTGGCAATTCTTCTGTACGATAACAACGCACTTACAATTAGTGTAATTATAAACTTGAATGTCACATACTTATCTCGTAATGAATTAAATCAACACTTTACACATCATAAACGCGAAATATTCTAGTGGGTAATGTTGACGGTGTGAGAAATAAATCGGAACCGAAGAGAGAAAAATTAATGCGGTCGTATCAAGTATTTGCAGCAGCAGCAGCACAATAACCACGTATACTGAACGAGAAACATGCATAATTGGTGTGATACGTTCTAGCAGCGATTGCTTGAATTCAATATAATTACACAAACGTTTAGAACAATCGAATTTATAAACTGCTAGCTATTCTCATTTACACTGAAATTCGAAAGCTACAATTCGAGGAAGTAACAAGGCTTGCAGTTGCAAGCTAAACCGGATCTCGAAGCAGCACATATTGGTGTTTTTGAATGAATGTCGTCAATCTATCATTTCAAATGCGTCATTAAAAGGGCGTTTCATTGACAAGTGAGACTTACGCAAAGAGAAGTTGAGAACAGTGCATAGCAACGCTTCAATCATAAACTGCATTTACGCAAAGAAGGAGCGATCAGGGTTGTGGAAATGACTGAGGATTACGAGTGGAAACGCGCTTGTAGAAAAAGCAAGAATGATTAAATGCACAAAATATCAATTATTCCCTTGCTGATAATTTATAGATGCTAGCATTGAACGCTCTCTCGTTCAAATGAAAACAGCTTAAATATTCAACTGTTTTTTTTGCCGATTCCTTCAGCATTTTGCTGCGATTCTGGTTAATCTATGTATTTGTAAGAACCTCTTGATCAAGTTTCATTTCACTCAATCAAAAGTGAGAACTGAAATTTTAGCATTCCAGCTGAAGACAAATGGTAATTCATAGCAAACGAATGGAAAGATTGAAAAAGATTGCATTAAACTTGCACAGTACAAATGCCATATGCGTAGACTTTTGCAGCAATTTTATCTGCTGGCGATGAAAAAAATTCCTCGTAAAACAGTCATAGTTTTCGAACGCAGAATTGATGCATTGCTGGTATTTATTAACAGAAGCCTAAAAATGCCACTCCTATCAGTTATATATTGATGATAACCACATAAGCTTACATATTGATGGATAAACACGTAGTTATGCACTGAAGCACTAACCACAAACGAGAGTGCTATATGGCTGTTTATGAAGAATAAGTGAATTGATTAGGAAAAACGATCGAAAGTGGCACCCAATAGGACTGGAATGTGTTCTCGTTTCGTAGAATATAACTACTAGAGCAGAATAGCTATCGAATATGAATTGTTATGAGGATTAAAATGCGGTGAATTTTCAAAGTGCGAATATGATAAATGTGGATAGCATGTATTCTGTTGCTTCTCATTCATGTTCGAAACATCAAACTTGTTAGTTCTAGCTCTAATATATGAAAATATATGAAAACAACCAGTTCTTTCCAAAAAATGCCTTCACATCAAATTTAAATGACATTTTCGAACCCAAACGCCCACAAAATATTCATCAGTCAGTGTTTTAGAGCTCGAGTTTGAAATTCGTAAATGCAATACTCTTACGAGTAGCTCAAAAAAATGACGATGTGTTGGTGAGCAAATTTTGTTATGCAGTTCTCAACTCATGACAGCTTTCTCTGATTGACATGCATCACATACTTCTCCAAAAACGAATGAATTAACTCCAAAGTTGTGATGTAAATTGATTGGTTTAATGTTGCTTCATGCATAATCAATTCAAATTTCAACACGTAAGAAATAGTTTTGTAAAAGGAAAGAAAATAAATTATCTCCAGAAATAAGCGCTCGGTGTTTCCAGCAATAAATGTTTCGAAGTGTGCGAGACAGTTTGTTCGTGAAGCGGAGGGCTATCGATGAGCATCATTTCAACATTGACACTGCATTAAAGATCCATCCCGGAATTCGACCACTTCTCTATCTTCTTCCTAAATCCTTCCACTGCACGCACCCTCTAATTAAGATGAATACTTGTTTCGTATCCGTCACAGCGATACT